TTATTTTAATTATTTAGGTATTTATTTATTTAATTAATTAAATTAAATTAAATGGCCAACGTTTTAATTAGCTAATTAACCAAAGTGTTTCAATTAATTAGTTAATTAATCCGACCCGACTCGGATCCACGCGCGACCCGTTTTATTTAAATCTTTCCCATTTTATTTGAATTTCAAATTTCCCGCAGTGACTATTCTGAAAGGTTGCAACTTTCAGAAACAGCCATGACCGTTTGAAAGGTTGCAAACTTTCATGAATGGTCGTGTGGATTCTGAAAGGATTGCAACCTTTCGGAACCAGTTCCTCTTACCTATAAATACATTGATTCTTCAGACTTATTCCTTACAAATTTTCTGATTTCTTCTTCTTCTTCTGCACAAAATTTCTTCGTGTATTTTACTGCTGTTGAGTGGTTCGCTGACACCAGAGTTTTGGGTATCAATACACTGGTGATTGAGATCATTCTATCCTGGGAGGACATATTCCAAATCAAACCTCGGATACTAGAGGGGAATAATTTCCTTAAGGGGACACTGTGCATTCAGTGGGCTTGATCTTTTTCTGATTCTGTTTTTTTTTTTCCAGATTGTGGTACGTTTTTTTTACAGATTTTAGTTTTGTCAATTAATTTATGTTCATCTATTCTTACTGGTTTAATTAAACTTTGGTTACTTCGTGTTTCTGCAAAGTTTATTGAAATCAGTAATTCTGATTTTTTATACACAGATTGATAACAGATATTAGATGTGGTGTGTTTCAATTAGATGGATGGGGTGTGTTTCAATTAGATGTAAACAATGTTTTTTTATATGGTGATTTAAATGAAGAGGTTTACATGAACATTCCTCTCGGTCTTGCACCTCCTTCTCCTAACCATGTTTGTTTGCTTAAAAAATTCATTTATGGACTTAAGCAAGCATCCAGACAATGGTATGCTAAACTCACTTCTACTCTCAATTGTAAAGGTTTTAGTCATTCTATGAATGATTATTCTTTTTTTTATAAGAAATCTGCCGATTCTATTTCTATTGTGGCAGTATATGTAGATGACATATTGTTGACAGGAAAAAATAAAGCTGAATTGCAGGCTTTAAAATTCTTTCTGGACAAATAATTTAAAATTAAAGATCTTGGTCAGTTGCATTATTTTCTTGGGATGGAGTTTGTGAGAGAACCTACTGGTATGATTATTTCCCAAAGGAAATTCACATAGGACTTACTACAGGAGTTTGATTCTCTACATGATCTCCTATTTCTTCACCTTTGGATCCTAATGTCAAGTTACTAGCAAATCAAGGGATTCCCATTAAAGATCCTACTTCACATGCGTTTGTTAGGTAAGCTCAATTATCTCACACATACCTGATTTATCCTTTACAGTGCAACATATGAGTCAATATATGCAAGATCCTCGTGAACCTCATCTTGCAGCTGCTTTACGGGTTCTTCGTTATTTGAGCATCCTAGCCTTGGTCTATTGATGTTTGTATCTTCTTCTTTCAAATTGCTGGCCTTTTGTGACTCCGACTGGGGTACTTGTCCAGATTCACGAAGATTAGTGAGTGAATTTTATATTTCTCTTAGGTCTTCTCCTATTTAAGGGAAATGTAAGAAACAAACATCAATTTCTCTTAGTTTTGCTGAAGCTGAGTATAGATCTATGAGGAGAGTTGTAGCCGAGCTTTCTTGGTTGGTTCGCCTATTTGATGATCTCTCAGTTCCGATCTCCTTGTCAGTACCCCTTCACTCTTATAGTCTTGCTACGATTCACATCGCAAAAAATCCAGTCTCCCCTGAACGGACAAAGCATGTCGAGATTGACTGTCACTTCGTCCGTCAACAGTATCTCGCTGGCTTAATTTCTTTATCTTATGTGAGATCTTCTTCACATCTGGCTAACATCTTTACCAAGTCCTTGACCGGCCCCGTGCATCATTAGCTTTTAGGCAAGTTGGGGGTTTCTTCCTCCCCTCCAACTTGAGGGAGGGTGTTGGATTTATTTTCATATATTCTGCACATACATAGAAAATATGGAGATATTCTTTTTCCTTTTCTAATTTTGTCATGTAAATATTCTTTTGATATTTTTTCCTTTTGATCTTGAGAATATTCTTTTAGGGTTTACCATTAGATGTCATTTTACTTGTATAAATACACCCTAATTGTATAATTTTAGACAATTTTCTATATTGTTCTTCATTTATTCTTTCAATACAATAGTTTCTCTCGCAAATTTTATAACTATCTCTAAAACAAAATTTCAGTATAACATATATATATATTCTTTATAACAATAAATTATTATAGCAAAAAATAATTATGGTGACAATAACAACATTAAATAAGTATATAGGTTTGACTATATTTTCTCTATACTTCTCGATTGATGTTGCATTGAAAATAACAGAGGACAAATGAACTAATTTTACTATCAAAGTTGACTAATTTAAACTAGAGTAATATTGGTGATGCATGCAATTAATAGATGATATCATATATCAAAAGCTTAGTTAAAAAATTTCCAAGTACATAATATGGTGTATATGATCATGTAATTCAATTTTAACATAATATTCCCAGGCTCTAGCTATATGCTTGCCCATAATATGAAATTATTTTGATTTCATGAGATTTATTTTTTAAAATGAAGTTGTATGATGTGGAATTCAAGATTTTAAACACCCCTCAAACCCCAACATGTTTATAACTTTATATGTGTCTATTGTCAAAAAGTGTGAAAATAGTGGATGTGTCTATTTATGTTTTAGATTTGTTTTATCCATTTATATGAAAGACATAATTTTGTGTACATGTTTGACACCAAATTCTAACTAGTAATTGAAAGATATTGAAAGTAACGTATATTTTTTAGTGTGAATATATATACTTTAAACGATTTCGTTGTCATGTTAATTAAAAAAAAGAAGAAAAGAGAATGCTTCAAGAGTAAATTCCATCTTATATTTTTTTAAAACATTTGAATTACTTGTGACATTGTTCAAAAGACAAAATAAGTCTTTAGGAAAAAGGAAAATTTCTTGCAGTAGATTTTCAAATATCTACACTTCGGGGAAGAATTACAATATCAAATATAGATTCCAGTGAACCTAATAATTTTTACTTTAAACATTATGCATATATTAAAAAAATCATCATTTATATAAATGTTTAACTCAGTAACTAACATAGACTATATCCGGAAACTGTAAAATATGACTTCACTATGGCTACTCAACAACAATAATGTATAATTTAACAAGTGGGATATGAAAATGACAGAATACACACAGACTGTTTCGATTCCGATCGTCGTGAGTGACATCCACACTAAACCATTTGGTGGGAGAACCAAAGACTAACCTGAACCAACCCAACACTATTCATAAAAACCAAGTTTTATCATAAAATAAAGAAAATAGTTTAGTTAACTAGAGAAATGAGTCGCCATAAACCCAACCCAATAACATGAAACATTTAACGCAGAAATAACCCATAAGGACCGAAGGTCACATACCAAAACTCTAAAACAGGATGCAACTCTAAAACTAAACATAACTAAAGTTTAAAAGTCTGTGTCCAAAAAGATGGACAAGAAAATCAGAGCAATTCATTGCAGCTTGAAAGATGTAACTCACCCTTGGATTCAGAATCAAGTACCTCTCAACTGAGGTCTTGGATCAGCCGCTGGAGGATTTCCTGTACTCAACAAGGAAAAGAACAGGTGCAATATCAGTTCACAAACTACAATATATTATTAGGATCACACGATTAGTCCAAGAGATGAATGTAAGCAGTTCACCACAAATTAAAGTAGTGACACAGAACAATAGATATAACAACAAGTATCAAACCACATAGACTCTCAATCACATGTCATGAAATAACAATGCATGGATGCATGTCCCACATGATCACAAATGTAAACACCCGGTTCTTTCATGGAACCACAATAACATACATGGTCCTCTCACATAACCCAAACCCAAACTAGTAGTGTACCTGCGTGGTACTCGAGCCATCCATAGTTAGTGTACTGACATGGTACCCGAGGCAACCAACAATCACCAACAATCACAAACAATCACATAACACAATGAACAATACCATTTGGAAACCATAAGTCATAATAAAAAGTTCATTGCATGAGATTACCTACATGATGTCATTTCATATGTCTCCCATGCATTGCACAAATGATACTGCAAAGCAGTAGACATGCATACATACATAAGTCAAAAATATACAACCATTACCTAGCCCAGATTTCGTATGAGGCTGGTCTAATCGAAATTTTTTAAGTCACTACCTTTCTGGCCCAAATTCTTTCACTATTAGCTTAATCATAACGATTGGGTCAGGTCGTTACATAAACCTTATTCAAAATTATTGTCAGAAGTAAAAAGTGTGAACATAGTGAATGCGCCTACCCCTTTTTCAAATTCGGTCAATCCATTTATGAGAAATGTATTACTTATATATTGATGCCAAATTTGAATTAACTAATAAACATATCCGTCATTAAAATATATTAAAAACAATAACATCTTCTCATGTGAATACAAATACTCAAAACGACGTCGTTTTCCAATTATAAAAAAGAACAAAAAAGGTGAGCGTTTCGAGAATTAAATGTCATCTAATACTCGCTATACCACTGTTTAACACACGCAAACTATATTCTCTTTTCGAAAAACATTAAAATTACTTCTGACATTGTTCAAAAGACGAAAAAACCCATCGTAAAAAAGACTTTTTTGACGTAGATTCCGAACATCACACAGGAGCAGAGCTATATATACGATTCGATGAATCCAATAAGCTTTACTCAAACCCTATATATAACACCAAGTGACTAACATATTCTGTATCCACAAGCTTCAAATCTTGACTTTCCCGTGCTGTTCTAACCATGGAATAGCAAAAGGAAAAAAAATAATGAGAAAAGGAGGAAGAAGTGTTACAAAATTGTAAGAATTGTGTATTTAATTAGAAAGGTATAGCTTGAATATTTCTCATCTCAAGTCCACTTCTCTCTTGTCTTCTCTTTCTCTCCTCTTCTTCACTGAGCCCCTCTTTCTCTTTCTCTCTCTTTTTTTTGGTACAAAGTGAACAAAAAGCTTATTGCTTTCATCAAATTTACAACTCTTTATTCTTCTCTCAATTCCAAACAACAAATAAAGCCAACACATTCTGTAAAAGCTTTGCCTTTTTCTGTAGCGGTGCCCAAGGAAAAATGCCAGCCCAGAAACGATTTTTATCGAATTATCAAGATGATGACAACAACGATGAGGATGATGAGAACTCGCCGGAGCAACAGCAGCAGCAGCAGCACCGTCGCCGGAAACAATCCAGGCGAGCTATGGAAGAGGAACAACAAGAAGTTGAGGAAGAGGAGGAAGATGAGCAAGACCAAACCCAGGATGATGATGGTGATGGGGATGGGGATGATCGAGAGGGGAAAAAGCAATCTTCTGATGATGGTTACGTATCTAAACACTTTATACGTGTACCCAAAATTCCAAATCTCTGTTATATGAATGAATGTGTGTTTGTTCTGTTATGGTGCATTGATTTTTTTCGTTTTTTTTGATGTTTAATGATTTGATTGGTTTGATTTTTGCAGATTCTGATGGAAGTGGCACTGACCCAGAAGCCTTTGATGAGTAATTTCTCTGTTTTTTTTTTTCATCTGCATGTTTAATTTCGTGTTTTTTTACTGCTGGGTTTGCTACTTTTTGATCTTTTTCTTTAATGGGTTTGAGTTCAGATGGCGTGTTTTCGCTTTCTGGGTCGACCCAAATAGTTCTTCTTTTGAGTAACGGCAGATTGATGGATGCAGAATTTCTACTTTTAAACTTTGTTTGAGTGATGGGATTCTTACTTTGGAGTTTGGCCAAGTTTGTAATGCACTCATGCTGCTTGATTTAATGCGCAAGTGATCATTTCTGCATGCGGTCGTTAGTTTTAATATCTGAACTTCTCGGAGGAGTTTTTTCTATAAGTAGATTGATTGTGAATTTGGAAATGCTATTGGGGTATTGCGTTTGAGTTATAAAGAATCCATTTTTATAAATTACGTTTTACCCTTTTTTGATATGCATTGCATTGCATGATGCTCTAAATTCACATTTACTTGTATTCTCAATTCATATATCTAGAACTTGCCCAAAGAATGAGGGCATGCGGCGGTGTAAACCAGAAATTTTCGTTTAACCAAACTTCTTTCAAATATAAAGACTACCTTAAAGATTATAAGGATGTAAGTACTATCTTTAAGGTTAGTCTCGATTTTCCAGGTCGGTATAGTTGTTATCCTATTATATCTCTGGATCTGGCCATGCAGGATAAAATTTTCTCCCATACATGCAGGGAATCCTTTTTCCTTGCTGTAAGACTTGTGAGTATGAATTACATAATGCTTAATGATATAGTTGTTCATGAAATATATGGTTAGGTTTGTGCAATCGTGGTGTCAACATGATCAACGAAGTTGTATGTAGTATATGTGTAAGGTGTCTTATTGAAAAGTATATATGTCTTGTAGTGACAGGAACTAACTGTCTTGACATGCTTGATAACTGCAATTGGACTTCACAGAAGTTTTATACTTTTGCAGTGGAAGTTACTAGTTCAAGATTCCTTGGATTTTAACAATGAAATAACTTGTTAACTTTTGTCATGTTTACTTAGTAATGAAAAACCAGTTATGCTAGATGATTACTATAAAGTATAAGGTAGCACACTATTTTCTTGTTAACATTTCCTGTGAGTGTTTCCATTGGTCCATGGTTAGCAGCATCACCTTTTTGGCCCTTGACCCTGGAAGATCCCTTTAAGCAGTTGTTGCTGCAAATGAATAAAAGAAGTAACTTTTGGCAATTATTAGCTCAACAGAACCTTTTCTACAGTTATTAAGAAGTGTACTTAAAGAATTTCCAACTTTCTTGGTTTGTTGTCTTTGAGGTGTGGGAGACTATTTGATTTCATCATTCTTTTTGTCTTCTTCTCAAGTCTGATCTCATTTATTGGTGTGCATTTTCTTTAAACTTGAATCACCTTTAAAAAAAATTCTTCAAAGTCTCTTGCTATAGAAATATTCAGGATCAGTAGTTTAGCTGGTTGTGAAATTGATAATGGGCGGGTAAGGATTTTGCCTGGCCCTGGGTTCTCCTGGTGGAAACTCCATTTTCTCTATGCTTGTCAATCGTTAGATTAAAATGTATAAAATCTGAAAGGGAAAAGGAAAAGCTTCTACAGAGTACACGATTCTCAATCCAAGATGGTTCCATAACAGATCCGAATTATGCAGGCTTTACTTTTCACCAATATAAAGTCACTACTTAACATGCAGGTTTTGCCATACTGTAAGATTTATGAGAATGAATTACATGATGCTCAATTAGGTTGTCATCTTGCATGCTGAACTGAAAGTTAAAACTGTACAAATCTCCAGAAGTTATTCTGCAGAATTTAGAACCTTTTGATCTTACTGATTTTTTTTCCCTAGACAGAATCTTTTCTATATCATCCTCTTGGTAAAATGATATGCATGATGCATCATCTCCATTTTTCTGGATATTTGGTGCAGTTTTGTAACTTTATAGTCTTTGCCTGCCTGCAGGTTGATCGCTGTGTCACGATCTGAGATTCGCACCAATGTACAATGTCCTATATGCTTAGGTATTCTTTATTCTCTGATTTTATTATATTTGAATATTTACAGCTTTGAGTTTTTTGCTAGGATTTCGATGAGAGAAGTTTTCTCGCACAATTATTTCAAGCTCGTAAAGATCTAGAATGTCCTATATGTCTAGGTATATTTGCTTTTACATCATTCTATATTGTTTAATGTTCTATATTTTGTTATTCAATCTAAAATTGTTGTGATATTTGTGGATTTTACCATTTAACTTTACTCTTTATGCATAAGTTCGTTTTTCAAGAGTTTTCTCCTAAAAATATCCCCTTTATTTTTATTCGTTGGCACCCATGCGGGGGACTTTAGCAGATAATTCAGGATTATGGAAAACAACTGATGTTTCCCCAAAGTTTCAGGATTATGGTAAATTATATGTATAGAACCTGATCATATGATGAGAGAACTTCTCAAAATGATGCTTCTATCTCTCCTCCCCTGAGTTTTATCATGGTGACTTGTGCAGTTGTCTTCCACCTCAGATCTAAATCAGAGGGATAAACTTATAAGTATATTTTTTTGTGCATGCTATTATCATAAAGTAGAATACTTTCTACTTCATGGTAACTTGACTATCAGCAAGTTCACAGGAAAAATCTCATTTCTTATCCTTTCTATGTCTTCCAGCTAGAGCATCATACAAACTTTTCTTATCAGCAGGATCTCCAAAAGTAATTTTTTTTTCTCTTCAAACAGCAAGTGATAGTGTTTCATGATTTCTGCTAAAGAATGGGAAAGCAAAACTACCAAATACCCTAATAGAAAAAGGATTAACACCAAACACAGGCTTCAATTGGTTTTCTTTTGTTTCATCAGTATTAGCTGGTTACCCTTAGGACTTGGTTGACTTCACGAACTCGGAACAACTAAAATGACCATAATCTTCTCAATAACCAAGTTGTATTCCTGGTCTTACCTTTTCCTATACACCATGAGGAACTAATTGTTTTCGTTTTGCGTCCTTGCTTAGTCTCTATGGTGTGCTCTACATCAATCAATTGCAGCTGCACCAAAGTCTTATATTTTTGGGGAGAATGGTAACAAGTATTATATAAAAACTGAAAAAAGATTGTGCTGTAAACCAAATGTACAGAAGAAAGCAAAAATTATATCCTTGTTCTTCTTACCAGGATTCTATGACATCTATCAGCGTATCCACATCTTTTACCAGTTCTTCTTTACACCAAAAATGAAATAAAAATAAGTACATCTTGATTTTCTGCACATTACTAGACGTGTCTTCAAAAAATCTTGCATATCTTTCCTTCCAAATGGTCCCGCCATTTGCAAGCTGGGATAACTTGCCACTATTTTTTCTGCCTGTCAGAACCCCCTGTGTTTTTCCATCAAGCTTATAGCTCCACTTCAGACCTTGGCATGGCCCATTTTATGCCTTTCATGTTTGAGAATAAATCTCAGCTGCTTAATACTAGAGTTGATTACTAATTTGGTATGTGTTGGTTGAAGATCAGAGAGTCCAACAGTTTTTTCACCATTGGGTGTCTGCACTGCATGCACAGGTATTATCAAGAGAACTCGGGTTGTGATGGGATGCCAACACCGTTTTTGCAGGGAATGCATAGATAAATCAATGAGACTAGGGTATGTAATGCATTAAATCTGTTTTGTGATTTAACTAGTCTTAAGAACTCAAGAATTACCTGAAGACAACTATAAATTTTGCTTGTAATCGCACTTTTACAGGAATAATGAATGCCCTGCTTGTCGCATACATTGTGCTAGTCGACGATCATTGAGAGATGATCCTGGATTTGATACCTTAATTGAGGCAATATATCCAGATGTTGAGAAGTATGAAGAAGAGGTATTTCCTTAATTTTAATGCTATCCAGCTTAATAAAATCCCCTTCCCCTGCCTGTATAATGAGAAAAAGAAGAGGGGCCCTAAGGGGAAAAAAAGAAATACAAAACCACTAGAGGCATGTATTCCTTTCCTCTTCCCTTTTGATCAAACTTGTCTCCTGCTAATTTGTGGAATATCTTGTTTTAGGAACTTGTCTTTCTTGAAGAGGAACGAGCAATCAATGACCAGGTCAGTTAAAGAGGCACCTGAAATCCTCATTCTTGAATGGACATGCGTGCATTTGTTTGCATGTATGTTCTTGTTTGTGTGCATCCTCGTTTGCGTACAGCAAGCATACATATCTCAAGGTTGTTACGGGAAGAGATATAGAGGTGTTCTATTAGTCATTACAGGTCCATGCATGTTGAAGATAGATGTTATGAATTACTAGATCTTAATCTGTTGATGATAATTTCTTTGCAATGTAATAGATTCTGTTTTCTCCCCCTTATCACTAAGATCTAAAAGATATCATTCTATAAAAACTCTTATTTTGAAACTAAGACGCTTACTGTGGCCAAAGCACATCCTGCATTCTCAAAAAATGAAGATCTCAATGTGTCGGCTAAGCTTGCTGGTGACTGACTCCAAGTGCTCTACTAACACATGTTAAATCAACTTTAAAAAGTCTTATGTTTTCCTTATATTTAGAGAATCTGAAAATGAAATGGAAGCTTCTCTTACCATTGTTTGTGAAACAAGTGTTTTCAGGTGTTATTATATGCCTATCTGATAGTCCAATTAACTTTTATGCTTTACCCAGTAGAATATAACTGTGCAAATAATATGTTAATTAAAATGGACGTAGATATAATTTTTTTTGTTTCTGATTGACACTTCTGTATATATTGGGGGCGAGACACAGACCTTGGTACATGCCTTATGTTTTTTTGTTTCGTTGGACAGATTCAAGCATCCATTGCCAAAATATCTCAACGCCAATCTGAAGCATTAATTAAGAGGCGCAAAGGCGGTAAAGACATAGCTTCTCCCTCCTCACAAAGAACATCTCGCAACTATCATGCTTATTCAAGAAGAAAAAGAAACAGTCAGGGCACAGAACCTGAGCGATCTGATCCAAATGAGAGTGAAAATGATGATCATGATGAGATCAAAGATTCACCCCTTAAGGATGAGCGTGGAACACAAACCAAGTTCAGGAAACACAGGAGGCGCAAAGGAGCTCTGACCGCTCAGACTTCTCCTTCAGCTGTGAGTCCAGATGGTGGACACATTGAAACTGCAGTACAGCTTCCAAGAGTCACCCCAAGTAATTCTCCTGGACCTGCACTGAAGCCAGAAACACTTGCTTGGGGAAGAGGTGGTGTTCGAAGCCACAATCGACATGGCAGTGGTGGTAGCAGAAATGCTCGTAATTATCGACTATCCAAGTTAATTGATTATCTTGACAGTGTGCGAGCAAAGAATGATGAGGTAACATCTCTAAATGAGATGTGTTGCAATTCATGCGCTGTCTGGTTCTTTCAATGTTCATTTGTTCGTAATTCACTCTTCTTATTTTGCAGTTAAATATCCATCTTGACATAATTCCATTAGACAAACAAGTGACACCGAGTCTGAAAAAGCCCCATCTCTGCTGCACGCCAAGCACGTCAGTTGGACATCTCTGTGAAGTAAGAGTTCCTTTTCGTCATACATTAGGAGCAAAAAAATAATATTTTCCACTATCCTTGTCAAAAATAGATATGAAACATAGTCATATGAAGGCATTAGTGACCTAATTAACAGAAGTGATTAGAAGCTGTCTGCTACGGCAAAACAAATTTTGAACTTTTTGGTGCTGCACAATCTTATTGCTGATCACATGGATATGCATTTCTCATTTAACTTTGTTGTCTAAGGATGATGCATGTTTGTTTTTCTATGGTTATGCCTCTAAATATCGTCAATTAGGAATTGCTTCCATAAAATCTGCTGGCTGTTCATTTTTCCATTTTGCCTCAGTTGACACTTTTTGTAATGATATTTTGAGTGCAGCTTGTTGCTCAGGAGACAAAATCACAAGCCATAGATGTTGAATTACTGGCGGTAAAAATCAACACTGTTGCTGGCAACTCCATTATCAACCATTCAATCTTAATGGATGCATCAAATATGCTACCTCAAGCTGTCGATGGTTCCAATGTTACTCTGGAACGCTTAGAAAGGCAAGATACTGTGGGAGGAATCAGTTCCAGTTGTTCTTTAAACAAGAATCTGGTGAGTTGGAGCTACAAATGAGTAATCAAATCCAATTGGATTACTTTAAAAAAATTTATGTTTCTTGATGTATCCATTAGTGTCCCACCTGAACAATCTTTTCTCTGTTCTTTCAGATCCTTGTGTACGTGCACAGGAATTCTGCGGTTTGATGATCATTCAGCTGATATGGCGCCTTTGTAGAAGATGAGTGCAGGGGGAGAAAAGAGGACAGGGGAACGAACATATGGAGGGCAACATTTAGGAACTTTTTATAGTTTAGTCTGCTAGTTTTCAGTTCTGGCCTATGATCTTTCTTTCTATAATGAATTTATCTTATGTCGCAAGTTTTGGTTTGTTTACAAGCATTGACATTTTGTTTATCTCCTTACAGTCACAGAAACATAAAAAATGTTTGTCCTTTTTCCAATTGTTCCCTGTTTTTTCTGCACCATTGCTTTCCCCACTTGCCCTATTTTTTATTTATTTTTGGTTTCCCATCTGCTGTTTGGTACGCACAGATACACACCCACATTGGAGCCTGAACCCGAGAGTACTGATTAAATATGAAGGAGTACTTACCCACTCCACCACATTGCCATTGTTATATCATTCATTCATCTCAATTTAAGTGTCTCATTAAATATAGAAAGAGACGCTCTTTTTGGACAGAGTGAGAAATATATTATAATATACTTGATGAATTTTCTGTGTACAAAGTGCACATTCTTACAGATAAATTTTCAATCTATACAAAAGTGCACATTTTACGGAAGAACACATTGTGACTCCAACCATTTGACAACAATGTCCTTAATCTCTCCATGGAGTTCAAGGATTCTTGAACATTCCTCCCAGATTCTTGGACCGATTAAATGTCCGTATCTTCACCTCATCTGGGAGGCAGCAGTAGAAACTGCAGCATAGGGACATGCCAATTTTCTCCTTTCTTGCCTTTTAAGAACCAGCAGCTTGGGGGATCTTGGTTTCGTCACTTGTTTGGAAGATCTGTAAAAAAAGGTTTAGTAGTTGTTCCAATGTGTAAAAGAAGAAAAACAATTAGTAGCATGAATTTTACATACTTTTGTGGCAGGAAAGGATGATCAAATTTAGGTAAAGGTTTTGCATGAGGCACCAAAGTTCTTCGTAGTTGTTTCAGAGCCATCTCTTCCTCCATCTAACCACCACAATCGATCCACACATTAAGAATTAGTCTATTCACATCATTAGCTGCTCGAAATAACACTACAGTTTATAATGTGCATACCATTCTTGCAGCTTCTGCCTCCTCCCTGTATCTTTGATACATCATTTCTTTCTCCTTAATCTGCACAACAGCTTATAATATGAGTGGCTATAGGCTTAGCTCTCAGAGAAAGTTGCACACAAATATAGCTAAAGAATTATTACCTTCTTATCAAACTCAGCTCTACCTGGTGCACGATGATCTACATGTAGATTAAATTCCTGAACTTGAGTGAGGGGCTTACGTACTTTCTCAGGTACTGGAATTGGATCCCTACAAATTTAAGAAACATCATTCATCTTTCAGATTCACTATAAGAAAAAATAGTTCATAAAATAGTCATTCTTTAAGGGAGGTCTTACTCAATTAAGATTGGTTGCGCTATAAAAGTCCTCATCATTGCTTCTTCCTTCTCCAATCTTCGCCGTTCTTCCAATTCCCTCTGCATCTCTCTTTCATGCCTGACCAAACTCTCCAGTTGGAAAGGTTCTGGTTTTGTACAATGCTTTGGTTCTGGTTTTGGTGGAATCTGGCAATGAACACATAAGAAATGAGTTCACATGAAAAGGGGTATGTACTGCAAAACAGATATTACAATAGTTGGTGTGTTACATACCACAGGGTAATCAGTTGTGTAAGGATATGGAGTTGCTTTAGGAACTCTTGACCTCTCTTCTTCAATCTGTTTCTGTAGAAGTTCGGTGAATAGTCTCCTCTCTTTCTCTGCTCCTCTTTCCTGGATTCAAGAAAAAGCTAAGCCATGAGGAGCTACATCATTTCGATAAGAAGGAACAAAAACATAAACACGCAGAAAATATACACACCTCTGTGTAGAGATGGAAAGGATTTGGTCTGGTGTTTCTTGGTATAGTCTTTTCATTTCTAGGTTCGGAATACAGAGAAAGCTGAAAATTGGAGAAAGTACAGTGAGGAAAATGTTAAAATAGAAGGTACAGTGAGGAAAATGTTAAAATAGAAGGTGCATTAAGGTAGTAAGAAGGATAATATTCTGATGGAACCTTGTCAAAGAGATCAGTAACATTAGCAGGAGGTGGAATCCTTTCATCTGTGGCAAAATGAAATTCTTCAGGCACCGTCACGTGCTTCTTTGTGTTGCAGAACATTCCAAGGTCTCCTTTACTTTCAAATATCTACAAATTCGAAAAAGTTAGCCACACAAAACCAATGTTGATAATTGATTGATAGTCTAGAAGGTGTGGGGGATTGTGTTACCTTCTTATTGAAAGGCCTAGCCCTGAACTTCGGAATTTTTTCAAGTTCTTCCTTTTCAAGTTCTTCAGAGCTTTTCATCTGTGGAAGCCGTGCTCTAAGTGACGTTTGCAGAACAGGTGATTTAGGAGCTGTAAGATGTGGCTTCCATTGATGACTCTGTGGCGCAAAAGTTTAAATTAGTCAGCATGAAAGCAAGTTAATAGTTTTTTTATTCCAAGTATTCACAACCACTTTGTAGTTAGTAACCTGAGTAGATTCCATGGATAGGACTTTAGATGTTTCAACATTCTGATTGGCCCTGGCCATCGTCTCTAAATGAAATTCCTGCAGAAGTGTAGCATATCTCAGTTGATTTTCTTGAATTACTCCTAGCTCTTCATAATCCAGGTAAACATACCTTAAATTCTGGAAGTTGCGGTGTACTTTTAGGTAGTGTTGGTAACTGTGGAGCTTCCAAGATCTGTTCCCAAAGGTACAAAAGAGAAAAGTACGATAAGATCAGTAGAAAATATTTAAAATCAGAAGGTAAAGGACACAAAACTATCTGTAAAATGTTCACCTTTTTGTTCAGTGGGCGAGCCTTAAACTTGGGAATTTTAGCCATCATCTCCTCCTCAAGCTCAGCTGAACTCTTCACTGTAGTTGGACGGACGCGTTGTGCAGTCTCAAATTCAGGTTCTTTAGGTGCAGTTAATGTTAGTTTATTAGGCTTCCTCTGCATCAATCATCAATCATCCATAGTGATGAATATAACATTTTAAAAGATATTTAAAGGTTTTGAAAAAATAGAACTAGTGAATAGTTTCAGTTGTTACATGTGAATTGGAACTGCTCGTTCCCCTTGTGCTACATTGGAATTTCTTCATCATTTCTGCTGTTGAAATAAATTGTGGTACTGGTTCTCGTACATACATCTTAGACAGTATAAAATCCAAGTTAGATACATTCTGAGTATTTCAAATAACATGCAAGATAAGAAAGATGTAGTCGATGGAAAACCTTTCTGTCCTCTTTACGAGTTTTGGTAGCCGTAGAGAAGGTGGAGACAATGGCTCCAGGTTTTGTTTTGTGCGGCAAATATTGGGGTTTGACATCCAGAATCTAGCAATTCGAGAGGCAAAAAAGAAAAGCAAAATCCCAGTGAGGTCAGATGAAACAACTTGAAAAATTCTGCATTTTCCAGAGAATATTATAAACTACCTGCTTGGCTTTTCCACTTTCTAATTTTTGCCTCTTTATAGCTTGGTTTTCTTGACCAAAATTGGGCGTTCTAACAGCACTTCTCATGATTGCTTGCCTGTGCAATGAAGTTCATCGAACAAGAAGGCGGAAAGAACAATGAGAGAATGAAAAAATTGAAGTGCCAAAAGCTACACAACAGCACATCACTTACTTTCTCATGCTAACAGGATTAGCGCTCTTTACAGGCAATGTTTTTGACTTCAATGCTGAAGGATTTCTAAGCATGCTTGTAGTTTTCTTTGCTGTTTTCTGATTGTTGGAATCAGTCTTCCTAGGGTCTATCTTCTTAGACATTGTTTGTGGTGGTCTTGGGGTGCAAATTTCTGCACAAGAAGGTTATTATGATCAGATGCCTTAGCAGTTGAAATTGTCTGCAAAATGGTGAACACACTAAAGCAAACAACAACAACATAACCAGTGTATTCCCACAAGTGGGGTCTGGCTAGGGTAGAGTGCATGCAGACCTTACCCCTACCTTGTGGAGATAGAGAGAGGCTGTTTCCGAAAGACCCTCGCCTTGGGAAAAACACTCAAGCAACGAATAAAAAATGACAATCCTTGGTTACTAACCTTGACTAGTTGGCTGTTTCTCAACAGATTCCTGTAAAATTTATTAAGTACAATGAGATATAAAGGTCAAAATAGGATCCTAAATGGTGCTTCAGTTACCACAGGATAAGCGGAAGTACCGGATTGGGAAGACTGCCATTAAGTTCTACTCCAATCGCATCATCTGGTGTTACCTCTTCCTTAACCTCAGAAGACAAAACCTTAGCTGCAGGTTTGTTGTTTTCATCTGGTGTCACCTCTTCCTTAACCTCAGAAGATACCTTAGCTGCAAGTTTGTTGTTCTCATCTGGTGTCACCTCTTCCTTAACCTCAGCTGCAGGCCTGTTTCAGTGCATTGAAATGAGTAAGAACATGATGGTTAAATGACATTGTATCATCTGAATATTGACATTTCTTTTGCACTATAAAGACCTTGTATTACTCTCCAACTTCTCGCCTTCAGTAAAATCACATGGGATCTCAACTTGTACTGATCTATTGGTCTTGATTCTTGGCATACAAGCTGCAAAATCCAACAACGACGCAACCAAACATCAACTTTTCATTTCAATTTGTATTTCTATAACAAAAATAACAATCAGCAGCATCTACAAAGACTACCACAATTAGAATGGATCCATTGCCAATCTACCTCCAATGATATTTTAATGAAAATAGCAATCAACATTAACTACCTTTTGTTAAAAATTACATAGGGGTAGGAGAGGAGAAATGAGATTACAAGGTGGAGAATCGAACCCTCAGTTACAACGTGAAAGTTCAGGTAGCCAATCAATTCAGCTACTAAGATCCACATCAACAACAACTACTAGAACCCGTGACATGAATATACATTCATTACCCAGGATCTCGAAAAAGGAACCAAATTATGTGATTTGAATAGCAAAAAAGGAACCAGCTTGGTGATTAAGCATTCCCAAAATTGACCTTAGCCTTACAGCCCTAATTTTTCACAGTAAGTCTCATTTCTGTTCTCCACCAGAAATGTATTTATCAATAATTTCAAAGCTGATCCCCAATTATTTCAGGATAAAGGCCTAATTGATAAATGAATTGTAATTACGAGCATAAGTTACCTGCTCTTTCGTTAAACTATATTCACAGATAAAACTAGTACATATGTCAAAAATTTCAAGTGTCAATCCACTGAAGTGATAC